ACATGTATCTGGTAGAAATGACTTGATTAATGTATGGGCCACTATACTTCCCGCTACAGCTTCTAAGTCATATACCGAAGACACTTGTTTCTGATGAGGCAAATTCCACTCTGTTTTTCCTTTAAGTATTGACGATCCACTATCTTCTGCCCATCCCAAAAATGTACCCTCTGCAGCCGGGTCGCGTGATATTTACCATGGGTATAAATCAGTTGATGCGTCAACAGTAGATCGACTCCTTGGAAGTAGATCGCGTATCGGAATGGTTGCACCATGTCGATCTACTCAGACGATTGCACAATCTTCGCAGATGATTGCGTAATTTCTGATGCGCCGTCGTCGACCATGAGTCTCAGAACTGGATCGAGTCAAGTCTCATCAGTCCGTCCCTTGCTCCCAGAAGTCAACTGTCACGCCACCACACTTTTTCTGCGACCGAAAACGCTCTTACTTAACGAATTGACTCCACTCCCTGATTTGATGTTCGCATTGAAGTAGAAAGGTATCTCTAATCTGAGTTCAGAATTGGGACTGACGCAACGACTCCCGCAGTCGTTGTGGCTTGTTTGTTGGCACCGGAGGCAACAGCTTTCGGCGCTACCTCCACGACGTGATCGGATACACCGTGCGGTACATGCACTACACTGACAGAGCCATAGCTCTCTGTCTCGTTGCGACCGAAGTGTACAATCATACGCTTCTTCCAGTTGATCGCTGAACCATGTTGTGCAAGTCACGACATACCCAGTCAAACTTATCATCTAGGTCCAAGTCAAACAAACACCCGGTGTTTGTACGAAAAGCGCACGCGTACGACGCGCTTCTCCGGCCCCAGTTGTCCATCGAACTTCCAAAACCCTTCGTGGTACTTCAACCACTTCGAAGTTCAGCTTCGATAGACTTTCCACTCGAACAAAGCCGTTCGACGCACTTGAGTCTATCAAAGCACGAAAAGAGCCTGCTCTCTTCAACCTTACCTTCAGGATGACAAGGTTTGGCTTGCCACCTTGCTTCGTACAGCGAGAGTGTCTCTCGCTGGGGGCTGCAATCTTTATCACCGCGTTTCCGCTGTAGACATGTGACTGCATAACCAGTAGGGCGCCTCGCACCTACAGCGTTCGAAGCACCGTCGCTACGACCGTCTCTCCTATGGCTGTTGACAGTGTTGTAGAGATTCCCACTATGAACCTGACAGATTGGGACGTCTGCACGTGCGACGTCCGTTGCAGACATATACGGGCTACTCATGGGTGAACAACCGTCCATGGGGTGGTCTCAGCCCCTTGTTCGTATTCCATACGATCTCGCCTGTAGTCAGTCGTTGGATGAAATTCAAGATGCAACCAGGTGAAATGTACTTACTCTGTGACCACTACTACAGCTTACGCGTATGCACACGCGTATGGGGAAGCGTAGAGTATTTACTTAGATTCCTTAATGTCGAAAAAAAAATAGGAATCTTCACATAGATATACTGAAGTATGTAAACCTGACCCGATTCATGGTAAAATGAGAAATGATTTTATTGATTTGTGTCTTTTGCATGAGTTTCTTTAACAGTAACGTTGTCTTGGAAAGGTATTTGCCAACCAATGTTTGGCAAATCCAGTTGCTCTAATTAGTATGTTGCCTGTTCACCAATAGGATTCTAAATATATGCCGATCCATCATCTGCTACATTTAACCATGGACCAATGTGGAAACCCTTCGCAACTAAGTGGCTACATGTAACCACTTACCTGTAACCCCGTTACAGAACAAGTCAAGGGACAAAAAATAGCAGCGAACACCAACCAGTCGTAGAAGTCGCCGGGTATCCAACAGAAGGGCGCCATCAGCTCCGACATGGACGGCACATGGAGATACAACAGCAGTACAGAACTGTTTTTTCCTCTCAGGAACCATGGAAGCGACAAGAGCGAAGTACGCTATGCTGGAGCGCGGCTAGGATGACAGCGGGCACGACAAGAGCAGATGGTCAAGAGCAAACTTTACGAGATATGAATTCTATTCAATTTTGAAAGGGCGAGTGTATCATATTTGGGGTAGGTTCAGCTACTGGTACCGAATAACAACTGTTAAGACATACTCTATGCCATCGCATACAGCACTATTTTGCCAATTAGAACACAGAACGGTGGCCAAGCCGTGTACTCTATGTCATCGCATTCATGCCACTTCTGACGAGCTGGTATGCATTGGATAGCAAGAGACACAATTTTTAAAATACCATACATTTATAACACTTCTTAGATGGAATGTATTCGGCTACGGGATCAAATTCATCTGGCGGCACATTGAACGCCATTGAAAACTGACAGAAGATACACGCCTTTTTTTTTGGGAATGTTGGTCGCACAAATTCCGACATATGAGGGATATATATTTTTTTTATTGAGACCGATAATCGGTCTCAATTAACAGTGCCATTAACTGTCAACCAAGCATAAATATATTAGACGTTTCGCATGATGCATTCAATTGACACCGTTCTGATGCCTATACTGAAGCCGAGTCGCCAGTAGCAAGTTGGAACAATGAACACTCTCCTCACGCGTCATCGCGCTCACACGATCTCTAACGGACAGGCACGCACGGATCGCGCATAACAGTAGGAAGCAGTTTACTCGGTGATTTTTCCGCGAGCTATTCGCACTCTGACTTTGTCTACCACAGGTGGTGGACTCAGCGAACGAAGGATGCCACACCGCGTATGCCCTACACAGAGCACACTATCCAGTGCTTAGGATATTGATGGCAGTCTTAGCTTCGGCCGAGTGGCACTGTAATACTAACCCTGTGGCCGTTATATATTACTAGGATAATATTAAGGTAAGTAGGTTGAAGTCATCTGTGTTTGGAAACCCCAAATCAGACCAAAACGTTCCTGCTTATATGCTTTCCCTGGCCGAGCAGCCCGTGAATTGAGCTTAAGCGCACGCGAATCAAGTTGAACGTTTGCTGAAGTGTAAGCTAACTACTCCTTCTCGTATAAATGCGCATCTGTTCGTTTAAGTGCTACAGATTTGGGCGATCCGAGAGCGTTCGGATAAACTGTTTATTGGTGTCTTGGATTTAGCGGAACTTAGCCAAAGTTGTATTGGGCCATTCACTGACGGACAGTTTCCAAAGACATAAACCAACCTAAACAGCTAAACTCCACATACTTTTAGAAATATTTGTTCCATACTTTTCCTGACATATCAGGTTATGTAGAGGGTTTCAAAGGTGTCCATTGGATAGGGTAGCAGGTTCCTTTCCGATCAGCCAAGGGAAAAGTCAATTTGCATGGATTATTTCGATTACGCTCTACTGCAGTTAGCTTTTCTAGTGCAATTGAGTATTGCACTCCCTGGGGATCATGCAATTGGACATTGAAATTTAAAATCGCAATACTTATCTTCAACGTTACTTGAAGCTCACTCTACTTACACGTGTAGATCTTTCGTCAAGGTCTTATCGCTCTTTAGCATGGGCATGGCTAAATGCAGCAACTGTAGCGTTTGCAGAGCAGTTGCGGCATAGCATGTCGCAGCATTTACCCTGGCCGACATTCTCTGCTTCATTCTCTCATCCTCTCAGCCGCTAAACCGGGTCTAGCGCCATTCATCCTCGCACAAGGGCTTCTTCGCTACTACCAGGATGACTCTATCCAAGAACACACTGCACCGAGGAGAGGTGCCTGATACGATCAATTTCTACATTGAGCGAAGATAGCAACGGCTTCTGTAGATCAGTGCTGAGAGTATTGCAGATTCCACTCCAATTGGGTATTGTAATATCTAGTTTTCATGCAATACAGTTCCAGCAGATAAACCAATTTGTTTTTTCCTTGCCTTTCTCCGATCGATTTGTATGTTTTTGCCAATTAGCGAGTTTTAATTTTGGATAAGTGGACAAAACTCGAAAATAGCGGGGTTGAAACTATAATTTGTAGCAGCACTGGACGCCTTCCAAAATTGTATTATTCGGGTGTCATATCTACAGCAGATATGACGGGCTTTATAAAGATATATGGCGGCATATCGATAAAAGTCTCCACCGCAAATGGCTTTGAACAGTAAGTCGTGTCCGATTACGACTGTCTCAAATTAGAAGTTACAATTGAAATTTATAGCTGCTAGAAATGTACTTGTCACTTTGCACCGGACAGTGCAAGGGCGGCGATCTTCTAAATGTCAGTACTTCAGAATTTGAGCACGCAGGACACAAGTGGAAGTACGATGGCGGACTACGCCGCTCACGCTATGATGGAGGTCTTTGTTGCGCACATAAAATTAGCAAACACGCGAACATACTTCATGGAGATCGTCGAACCTCTGCCGCTGCTGCATTTGCCCCCTTCGGCCGCAGAATTAAAAGTGATTGAGCTTTTGAGGAGGCGGAAGATATATGCCTTCAAGTTAAATCACTAGAGTGAGTGTGACATACGCAGGAATGAAGGTCATCATAAAATTTACAAACTTCAAAATAAATTGGTAAGATGGCTACATGACATAACTCTTGGGGTAGGGAAATCTATTGACACGAAATCTACGCCTCCGAGTCGACCTATGCCTTGACATATCTGCTGCATATAAGTCGAGCAGTTATGTGATATTTGGAAGGCGTTCACTGTATGTATGTATGTATGTATGTATGTATGTATGTATGTATGTATGTATGTATGTATGTATGTATGTATGTATGTATGTATGTATGTATGTATGT